CGTGACTCAGTCTTAGCTTCTTGAGTGGCTTCATGACCATTACCACCTGCGGGTCAGCCAGGCTACGGTCACCAACACGCTGAAGAGGAATGTGCATCTGTTTTTCGGCTTCTGGTGAACAGCAACATGAGTGCCAAACGTCAGCGTGCAGTCAAGCATTTGGGAATAAATTCAGCTCTGCTGGATCATTTCACTGCCCACCAGGATCGCTCAACCTCAGCGGACACTTCACGTGAACATGCGGAGCGGATCCTGGATCTTGTTCATCCAGGATACGAAGCGTTCCAGGTGTCTAACGGATGGCTGGCATTCTTGAAAGCTCGCGACTAAAAACGCTCTTATCGTACCTTCGGTGAAACTTGCTCGGTCGACATGTTTGCTGTGGAGGATGCATTGTCTTCCCTGCACGCGATACTCAGTCAGTCGGGGCTAATGGAAGGATATCTACATCAAAGATGGGACTGGCTTGTTCTATCGGACGCAAGTAAGAGCTCCACAATGGGCATCATGTCTTATTTTCTTCTAGTGATCAATGCACCTCTTCTGCTTTCAACGCAAACATTTCACTTGCTACGTGGCCACTAAGCGGAATTGGAACGAGGACAGGACAACCGTGGCTGTCTGCTGCAAAGGTGGTGGGTCCAAAAAGAAATGCCCCGCAAATCATCGGCACGTACGCATCGATCTATGCCTTCACATGACAATAGCTAGAACCTTGGGTGTCAGTATCAAAGCAACTAAAAGATATGGATGGCTCAAGTCAACCTCTTGGAGTGGCTAGTGGACTTTGATCGAAGGACGGCAACCCGCACAATGCTGCTGATCCTGAACAACTGCAGTGCACACGTCCCGCTATCTGATCTGCCGCAGCGGATTGCACTTTGCAACTCGATAAACAAATGCGTATCACTTAGATTAACATTAAAGCTTCAGACTTTCGACCTGAGAATCATACGTGACCTCAAAGCGTACCTCTGGTGTGGCTCATGCGCTTGCTTCAGTGGGACAGAAGGGAGGTATCCGGCAGAACCAGCTGATGATTCACGAGTCCTCAAGTCAAGAAGCGGTGTCTAGAGAATGATGTCATGAAAGAAGTGGAACATCAGATTGAACGCTTCAGGCACCCCGACCCGATGGTCACTTGCAACCAGCTTTGAATTTGTGCTGGGCGACTTTACTTCGTTCGTGCAGTCCGGTTGTGGATGAAGTCATTGAATACCACCTTCCGACTCAGAATGAAGACGAGCGGGAGGACAGCCACAGACCGTCATAGATAACTGTCGTGGAGGCTTGGAACGTAGTCAACTTGCTTGAAAAACTCTGGCTGCGACGGGAGATCGATGCGCAACGCATCAAGTTACTACGGCGAACGGAAGACGGGTTGGGGAAATCCGCACAGCCCAAATGATAAAGCCTGATCGATGACACTTCGTTAGACGCGTATGATTGCGCTGACCGTCATTTTAGAGCGTCTCGTTTTTTTCTGCAGTCAAGTTATATGAAGATTTAAAATGGAACCTCGAATTGCATTAGATATAAGTAAAAAACAGGGTGGGTCAGTTCATGTATGTGCGCGACCTTTAAGTCGGAGACGTTTTATCACGTAAAGTAGTCCATTAATTTGCGGTAGTGTTCGACCAGAATCCACTACTATCTGCGCTTGAAGCCTGTTGCATATACCATAGCCGTTAAAGCCGCCGACATTTGGACCACGTCCACGCCCTTTCGAATAGGACATGCACAGAAACATGTCGACTTTCAATACAAATGGCCGCGGATAGGTCAAGTTTAGTCCATTACTTTCCAGAAAACCCGTTCAGGGCAAATCGCTCAGTTATTGGACGCAGAAGCAAAACATGGGCCTGCCTCGTCGCCAGTCTGCCATCGAGAGCTCATATGGGCTTATTTTACCTCGCCGCACCAACACAAACACGAGCGCCGTAACTGGTAGGTACATCATGCTTCGATATCATCGTGTTCATCAGCTCCGCCACAACAAATCCATTTGCAGTCTTGATGAAATGAAGTCTTACTCTTCCTATTGCCATAGCGTGTGTGTTCGGTACGTTTTGCCGATATCACACGAACGATGCGTGGAAGCGTTTCGAAGTAGCAATAGAGTCAAGGTGACGGACTGCCAGACGTGCTGGACCACGTGGAATTTATCATGCAAGTCTCTCGTAAGCTTACAGCTCTCGGCATCGAGTACTGATCGGTAGCGCGCAGCAGCAGCATTTAATACGGTCAAGAGAGAAGCATTGTATCACCTTCCACATCGATCGACTATTGTTTATCACGGTATTGCTGATGCGGCAGTTACTATGTACGCGCGTCTCTACGTCACAGAAACATCAAACACAACAGATCACTACGGTCGTCGTATAGAACGCGCGGATTGTCACGATTGCTTCGGAGGTTACGTAGACCGCTGCTGCTAGTGTAGAGTAGTAGCCCCAAGAGTAGCGACGCTTTTTACCGCCAAGAGTCAATTCTTCTTTTTGCCCGGATTGCATCAGCAAGTGCAATCCAGGCCGCGAACAGAACAGAATGAATGAGATGCCAAGACAAATCGGTTCGATCTCGTATACGTTACCATTGTGTCCTGAGCTGAAGTACGTGGTAAATTAATCTTTCACGAAGGCCGGATCGGCTCAACGCAGCCCATACGTTGATAAAATTAAAGCACGGAATAGCGTCGAACGGGTTCCCCCTCCGCTGATTGTACGAGACCCAGGTCTTATAACTTGTGTCTCGTAGAGAGTATCTTAAATATGCGGAAGTGTGGCGTAGTTGGGTGGCCATCCTACCTTTTGATACACCCGTGTCTTATTTGAAGTCCAGTATGGTGTACACTCGCCGTTGCCATTCGGCCGTCCACTACCTCTACCATTCGTTCAGACGCCCATCATGATGTAAATTTGGCATTTCGCTAATGCATTGAGACACAAGGTATGATGCCATCCTTTTTGTTGGCCTTGCCATCGATCCACACCTTCTTTAGCTAGTCCTTTAGAGGTTTATACGGAACAAAGTGATGTAGAATTGTGGAATAAATCATATCTTTTACCCCATACTGGGTAGCCCTTGCACCGATAACGTGCAACAATGTGTGCTCCCAAGCCTCACGTACACGGTGCACGTAGAGGAAGTGAAGAATCTGAGCAAGAGCTGCTCAGAGTAGGGGAAAGTAAAACTAAGTTGAATATCGATAAGCCCCTTTTATAAACCTTCTTTGTGTTACTTAACTCATGTTGAGCAACAATCTTCCAATGTACTCAATGATCTCGCCCGCCACTCATCGCGCGCATCCTCCAGCAGCGATTGGTGGTTAATGTGGTCGATATCATGTCCTATATCAACCAATCGTGACGCGATGCCGAATATTACCTCTAAAGGTAATACTCCTTCAATATTGACTCGCAAGAGTAATAGTGTAAATTATTATCAAAAAAATTCTCATTACCATGACGCAATTCGTGCCAATGACATGTTAGGGGCGCACCCGCTTACATGGACGATACTTACTCAGCCATGTCGCCAGTGGAAATTGTGATCGCACTCGAGACCCTAAATCTGCTTTGTTGTTGCACAGGTCGCGGCAGTTACAAATTTGGTTCGAGACGTGATGATGACCAGTCGACAAAATTTGTATTACGCCATCGCGTCCGAAACAATGCAATCACGGGTCCAGGCATCTATCATCTTGTGGAGCAGTATCTGGTAGTGGCGTGATAGTAGTGCAGAGCATGTAGGCTGTCTATGAGAAGAGAATACGTGGGTAGTATGTTGCTGATTGGTAGTGGTGGACAAGTGATTGCACCAAGTACCAAACAAGGCAGCCAAATGCGGGGTAAATTGCAATCAGAAAGAGGCATTGGTCCATATTCTGTGAGTGATGTAGGTGGACTAAGGTCGCTGTAGTGGTATGACGAGCAACAACTATTCGTTCAACAGCGTAAAAGCTGTTGACCGTGAGGAAATTGGGACTGGCAACAAGTACGATTGCCTTGCCATTTCTCATCGACCAACTAGGTAGAATTGCGTATCGCTTCAACGTATTTTAGCTCGAAAACGGCAGTATCCTTCATGGAGAACATCCCGCAATACTGATGTTGCCGCGGTGTCAGTAGCATCAAACCTTTTGGTAGACCTCTTTTCTCCTCGACTAATTGCAATTGGTGGATGTCTTCATACTGCATCTCTTGGTTTTGGTATTGATTCAGCGGTGTACACACAGCTGGCGAACAGCTTCTTCTCCGCATGACTTATTAGCAAACGACAAGCGCTTGACTTTCTTCCTCCATTGGCGAGCCTGGTGCTCAGTGAAGTTGAACAAGTATGTTACAGTGCCCTGCATTCGCTTCAGAATCTCCATGCAGACCTTTGTAGGTCACCGGCATGACTGGCGTACGAAAATAGCCTTCCATCCTATCATCTTTGTATGGTAGGTGCCATGCGTTATATCCCTAAAACATGCTCGCACTACATCCAAGTCACTACCATAAGGCGTCAAATAAAACGAAGCAGCGAGAAGCTTTTACCAGCTGTCGGGAACGCGTCTGTGCATGCCCCTCGACATATTTACACCTCGAAATGCTCGAAATGGGTCACTCGAAAGGTCAGATCATGGCTGCTTCACGTAAGAATAGGCGTATCATTGCAGAAAAGGACTTAGTTAAGCGTTATTGCCAACGGTAACCTAACAACCTGCTAGCGCAAAGGTTGCGATACTTCATTGAACCCTCTTGACTCTATGCGCTACGGACGCTGGCAATCGGATTTATATACCAGCTGCGAGTAGAATATCGGTCGCCTGTCAGTTGATCAGCCGCTAACGACAATAGCAAAATCCTGATAAGAACGGCCCTTCGTTGCGTCTACTTTTACACCGGAAGATGGGTTTGCCTTATCAGTCAGCAATTCTTCACATCGCGACCTGCTTTGCTGTCGGTCTTGCGGTCACCGATCGCAGACCGTTTGTTGATCCCACTTTGCTGCGCATGATTGACGCCAACCACGAACCAAAGACGGTCAGCACGATGGTACCTCAGCTAGCCCCGAGTAAAGTAAACTTCAACTTGTTGGACTCGCCGCTGGACTTTGATGCGACCGGTGCTTCGTTAGATGTTCAGAGCGGACGCTATGCACCTAGTGGGCAGTTCTACGATCGCGAGTTGTATGGCAGTCTTCGTAAGGGCAGGGCCGTGAATTTCTTTTCCATGGAGTGTCTGGGCCTCGTGGCTGCTACGTTCACCTCCATGTTGTCGTACCAAGCTCTGCTTGTGCTGGTGCAGCCGATGTACAACACTCAATTGGGCCTCAGCCCAACTTCGATTTTAGAAGTGAAGCGAATGATCCAGATGCCCATGGTTCTGAGCTTCCTTGTGGGTCTGCTGTCTGATTGCTACCCAATCATGGGTCTGCGTCGCAAAGGGTACATGATTCTCGGCTGCATCACCAACGCCGTCGCGGTGTTCGCAATCGCCATTGTGAGTGCATCTCTTGGCAACGACTCCACAGCTAGTAACGGAATAGTGGCTGTTGCTCTAATATTTGTCGCTCTAGCCAGCATGGGCTGCATCACTACATACGTGTGCGTGCACACCCGTGTGGTTGAGTACTCGCAGCGTGAGTCTCTGCGCGACCGTGGTTCAATCCAAGTGACGTACTTGATCTTTCGTCGCATCGTATCCATCTTCACGTCGGTGCTCTCATTTCTCGCGCTAGGCACGGGTCCAGAGCCCAACATTTCGGTGTCGACGGCAATGACTATTCTCGGAGTTCTCTCGATCTTACCTTTGCCGCTCGTGTTTCGATACTGGGATGAGGAGGTGTACTCGCTGAACACGTCCATGAAGATCCGAAGCCAGATTTTGTGGAAAATCATGCAGCAGAAAGCTGTGTGGCGAATCTTGGCTTTCATCTGGTTCTTCACGTTATTCTTGGGCATCAGGTTTGATCAATCGACTGCTGTTGTTAGTGCGTGGGCCGGTGCGGACAAAGACAACTCGTTGCTTGTAAAGACCATTCAGGATCTCGTGATGATCGGCATTATGCTCGTGTGGCGCTACGTGTTTATGAACCGGACGTGGTCCATTTTCTTTGCTTTGGCGCCAGCTTTCCAGATCGTACCGAACCTCTTTGTCACGGTCCTCGTCGCGCTTGACGTGGTGCGCAATCACTACTTCTACCGATTTTTTTACGCAATGACGTACGTTGCAGACGGCATCGGTCTGTTGAATACCATTGTGCCCGTGACGGAGATTGTTCAAGAAGGGTCTGAAGGTGCGATGGTGGGTCTCACGCTCACTCTGCAGCGGTGTGTGAACATCTTCGTGGATACGAATGCCAAAGGCATATTCCGAGGGTCAAATTTCTACAATGTGGATGAAGTAGCTGCTGATACCTCTGGAGCGCGGCGCGACGTTGTGCTGTCGCTGCTGCTCAACTTCGGGCTGAATGCTTTGGCCTGGGTCGGCCTCTTTTTCCTCCCTTCCCAGAAGCTCGACACGCAGCAGTTGCGCATGTATGGTGGGTTCACGAAGTGTGCAAGTGGCGGCATTGTGTCCCTTTGTCTCTTGTTTTTTATCTACTCGTTCGTGGTGACAATTATGTCGCTCATTCCGTCCACCACGTGCGTTACGCTCGTCGGTAACTCTGGCTGCTAGCCGTTAGGTAGCAATAAAAGGACCCGACAGGATCATGCAATAAAAAGTAAAACGATAGTGGAAGTCAATATCTGCTTCAACGCTGTACAGTTGGATCGCGTTGGCTCCTCGACGTCCGCGCTGAGCAAGCAAAAAAAGGCAAAGACAAACACCCATCGAGCGCAAAAGTTGATCGCACGCATCGCCCGCACGTCTCCCAACAATATCGGAGCGGAAGGGCAGATTGCTAGGGGAGAGTGCAAACACGGTCGCATGTGTAATCATAAATGTAAAGCTTGCTCGATTGCTAGTCCGTCTGGCTTGGACGAATCGATGTCAGGCTACGTGTCTATCCAAGCACATGGAGTGTCATCTCCGCTAGATCTCATGTTAATTTGATTGTCACATCGTTGCGAGTAGAGATTAAAGCTGTCAACGGAAGTCCGTGCGAAATCAATGCAAACATGCACTTCGCAGTCCTAGCATACTGAACGTGAGCGATCTGCTGCATGTCGTCACCGAAACGTTGCAGCAGGATGAAGTTAGTTGCATCGACTACATTGCAGGTGGACTTACATCTAACAGCCAGAGCTCAAATCTATGGCTCTAAGACATCGGAAAGCGACATGATATGAAAAGTGCAGCGGATACGCCTAACCAGATCGCATCGAGATGTGGCCAATCTCAACTATACTTTCGTGGGATCGTTAAGACGCAAGCTGACAAGAGCAATCACAAATAAATATAACCTAGTAGAAGCGTTCTCCAGACACGACCAGAGCAAAGAGCAAAACGATGGTAGTTCTTGCAAGATATCCGACATCATAGAACTGGTGTGCAGCACCCATTATTTTCTCCAAACATCGATCAGGATGGGCGTCTGAACGAATGGTAGAGGTAGTGGACGGCCGAATGGCAACGGCGAGTGTACACCATACTGGACTTCAAATAAGACACGGGTGTATCAAAAGGTAGGATGGCCACCCAACTACGCCACACTTCCGCATATTTAAGATACTCTCTACGAGACACAAGTTATAAGACCTGGGTCTCGTACAATCAGCGGAGGGGGAACCCGTTCGACGCTATTCCGTGCTTTAATTTTATCAACGTATGGGCTGCGTTGAGCCGATCCGGCCTTCGTGAAAGATTAATTTACCACGTACTTCAGCTCAGGACACAATGGTAACGTATACGAGATCGAACCGATTTGTCTTGGCATCTCATTCATTCTGTTCTGTTCGCGGCCTGGATTGCACTTGCTGATGCAATCCGGGCAAAAAGAAGAATTGACTCTTGGCGGTAAAAAGCGTCGCTACTCTTGGGGCTACTACTCTACACTAGCAGCAGCGGTCTACGTAACCTCCGAAGCAATCGTGACAATCCGCGCGTTCTATACGACGACCGTAGTGATCTGTTGTGTTTGATGTTTCTGTGACGTAGAGACGCGCGTACATAGTAACTGCCGCATCAGCAATACCGTGATAAACAATAGTCGATCGATGTGGAAGGTGATACAATGCTTCTCTCTTGACCGTATTAAATGCTGCTGCTGCGCGCTACCGATCAGTACTCGATGCCGAGAGCTGTAAGCTTACGAGAGACTTGCATGATAAATTCCACGTGGTCCAGCACGTCTGGCAGTCCGTCACCTTGACTCTATTGCTACTTCGAAACGCTTCCACGCATCGTTCGTGTGATATCGGCAAAACGTACCGAACACACACGCTATGGCAATAGGAAGAGTAAGACTTCATTTCATCAAGACTGCAAATGGATTTGTTGTGGCGGAGCTGATGAACACGATGATATCGAAGCATGATGTACCTACCAGTTACGGCGCTCGTGTTTGTGTTGGTGCGGCGAGGTAAAATAAGCCCATATGAGCTCTCGATGGCAGACTGGCGACGAGGCAGGCCCATGTTTTGCTTCTGCGTCCAATAACTGAGCGATTTGCCCTGAACGGGTTTTCTGGAAAGTAATGGACTAAACTTGACCTATCCGCGGCCATTTGTATTGAAAGTCGACATGTTTCTGTGCATGTCCTATTCGAAAGGGCGTGGACGTGGTCCAAATGTCGGCGGCTTTAACGGCTATGGTATATGCAACAGGCTTCAAGCGCAGATAGTAGTGGATTCTGGTCGAACACTACCGCAAATTAATGGACTACTTTACGTGATAAAACGTCTCCGACTTAAAGGTCGCGCACATACATGAACTGACCCACCCTGTTTTTTACTTATATCTAATGCAATTCGAGGTTCCATTTTAAATCTTCATATAACTTGACTGCAGAAAAAAACGAGACGCTCTAAAATGACGGTCAGCGCAATCATACGCGTCTAACGAAGTGTCATCTATCAGGCTTTATCATTTGGGCTGTGCGGATTTCCCCAACCCGTCTTCCGTTCGCCGTAGTAACTTGATGCGTTGCGCATCGATCTCCCGTCGCAGCCAGAGTTTTTCAAGCAAGTTGACTACGTTCCAAGCCTCCACGACAGTTATCTATGACGGTCTGTGGCTGTCCTCCCGCTCGTCTTCATTCTGAGTCGGAAGGTGGTATTCAATGACTTCATCCACAACCGGACTGCACGAACGAAGTAAAGTCGCCCAGCACAAATTCAAAGCTGGTTGCAAGTGACCATCGGGTCGGGGTGCCTGAAGCGTTCAATCTGATGTTCCACTTCTTTCATGACATCATTCTCTAGACACCGCTTCTTGACTTGAGGACTCGTGAATCATCAGCTGGTTCTGCCGGATACCTCCCTTCTGTCCCACTGAAGCAAGCGCATGAGCCACACCAGAGGTACGCTTTGAGGTCACGTATGATTCTCAGGTCGAAAGTCTGAAGCTTTAATGTTAATCTAAGTGATACGCATTTGTTTATCGAGTTGCAAAGTGCAATCCGCTGCGGCAGATCAGATAGCGGGACGTGTGCACTGCAGTTGTTCAGGATCAGCAGCATTGTGCGGGTTGCCGTCCTTCGATCAAAGTCCACTAGCCACTCCAAGAGGTTGACTTGAGCCATCCATATCTTTTAGTTGCTTTGATACTGACACCCAAGGTTCTAGCTATTGTCATGTGAAGGCATAGATCGATGCGTACGTGCCGATGATTTGCGGGGCATTTCTTTTTGGACCCACCACCTTTGCAGCAGACAGCCACGGTTGTCCTGTCCTCGTTCCAATTCCGCTTAGTGGCCACGTAGCAAGTGAAATGTTTGCGTTGAAAGCAGAAGAGGTGCATTGATCACTAGAAGAAAATAAGACATGATGCCCATTGTGGAGCTCTTACTTGCGTCCGATAGAACAAGCCAGTCCCATCTTTGATGTAGATATCCTTCCGTTAGCCCCGACTGACTGAGTATCTCGTGCAGGGAAGACAATGCATCCTCCACAGCAAACATGTCGACCGAGCAAGTTTCACCGAAGGTACGATAAGAGCGTTTTTAGTCGCGAGCTTTCAAGAATGCCAGCCATCCGTTAGACACCTGGAACGCTTCGTATCCTGGATGAACAAGATCCAGGATCCGCTCCGCATGTTCACGTGAAGTGTCCGCTGAGGTTGAGCGATCCTGGTGGGCAGTGAAATGATCCAGCAGAGCTGAATTTATTCCCAAATGCTTGACTGCACGCTGACGTTTGGCACTCATGTTGCTGTTCACCAGAAGCCGAAAAACAGATGCACATTCCTCTTCAGCGTGTTGGTGACCGTAGCCTGGCTGACCCGCAGGTGGTAATGGTCATGAAGCCACTCAAGAAGCTACGACTGAGTCATGGTCGATTGATTACCTGCGTGATGTATACAGAGAGCCACACGGACGTCGTCCGTCGTTGTGGTGTGGCTTGCTTCTCTAGTATGCATTGTCGTCGGCTTCATATTTTCCGTGGTGGATCGAGTAGATAGGCCTTTTTTGATCACCACAGCCATCCAATAAGCGAAAGAAAATTGCGTAAATAGGGGGGTGCTACACCTGTCGAAATTGAATACATGTCTACAATTACAAGGAAGACGGGTCCCAGCACCAATAACGTACACAGGTTCTGCTCAACTTTCCATCTACCGGTACTGAGTACCCTGTCGGTAGCCAGTAGCTATGACCGTTTTTGTATCTGGGCACACCCTTGCGTGAACTTAACGCAAGGGTATCGGTGCCCCGACAGACGTACACAAGGCGACCGAGGAAGCGTAGATAAGGGAAAAGTAAAACTGTTATATTAATATAATTAAGTCTTTTAACTACTGTCTCTCTGTTTGACTTAACTTAATTATGCTAATAGAACTGAGTGTATGGTGACGTCTCGTCACCACTCATTGTGCGCGTCTTGCGGCGATTGGTGGTTTGATATCATCAAGATATCAACCAATGAGCAGACCCTTTGATCGCTTCACCAATATCACCACTGTTGGTGATATTGTTAAAAGAATATTCAACATAATATTCTTTATTGTCATTAT